GTGAGTGACCACTCTCGGGTGTAGCCACAGCCCCATGCCCATCTCCCCTTCTGGGTGCCCCCACTCACGGGGGGTCTGGCTCCCCCCACACTCCTTGTGCTCCCCTTTCTGCAGTCGGTCACTGTGGAGACGCCCCAGGGCACGATGTACGAGGGGAAACGGTTCCACAGGCAGCGGGTGAGACACGATCCCTGCTCCCCGTGAGAGCACAGCTCCTGGGGTCAGCATGCACTGGGAGCACCCAGCACGTGTCCCTGCCCCTTTCCCAGATCACCGGCGTGTCCATCCTGCGAGCAGGCGAGACCATGGAGCAGGCCCTGACCGCTGTCTGCAAGGACATCCGCCTGGGCAAGATCCTCATCCAGACCAACCTGGACACAGGGGAGCCTGAGGTGAGTCGGGCTGCAGCCTGGCACACGGCCGTGCACCCCTGGCACGTCACCAACCGCCCTCCTTCCCTCCCCAGCTCCACTACCTGCGCCTGCCCAAGGAGATCAGCGAGGACTACGTCATCCTGATGGACAGCACCGTGTCCACGGGGGCCGCGGCCATGATGGCTGTGCGCGTGCTGCTGGTGAGGGGCCGGGTAGGTGGGATGGGGCGTGAGATCTCTGCTCCCAGCTGGGCTCTCATATCTCCACGTGCCACAGGACCACGATGTGCAGGAGGACAGGATCTTCCTGCTGTCGCTGCTGATGGCGGAGATGGGGGTGCACTCCGTGGCATACGCCTTTCCCCGTGTCCACATCATCACCACCGCTGTGGACAAGCGGGTCAACGAGGAGTTCCACATCATCCCGGGCATCGGTGAGGGGGAGCAGGGTGTGCTGTACCTCATGGCTGAGGCCAGCAACCCTAGGCATGGACAGCCTCGCAGCCACGCCGAGGGGACTCCGGCGGAGCTGCTGCTGCTGTCCCTTCACTTTGTCCCTTTCTCTGCCAGGTAACTTTGGAGACAGATACTTTGGCACCGATGGCCCCTCAGCCTGGTGTGAGAGCGACAGCATGGACTGCTGAACTGGCTGGCCACAGGACCATGGACCAGGCTGGCTGCAGGGCTGGCCCCCATCCCTGCCCCCAGGAGAGGCCCTGAGCTGCCAGCTGTGCCCACCTGCCAGCCCCCGGCTCTCCGGACCTGCACCACAAGCCCCCCTGCTGCTGGTCTCCCTCTGCCCCAAAGGACCAATCCTCCCCAGGGAGGAGGAGGAGAAGAGAGGGATGGCCTCTCCTGTGGACCATGGAGAGGGGACATTTAGGGACATTCCTTGCTCCCAGAGCCCTGCCTTTGGGCCTGGGCCAGCCGTGCCTCCGAAGGGGGTGGTGGCCTCCCTGCGGCTGTGCCTGAGGGGGTGCTCACCTTCTGTCCAGGGGAAGAGAGAGATGGGGTCCAGTCCAGGTGCGCTCTTTGCCTGGAATCCGTATTTATTTGTATTTATTGTGGGCAGCCCCCAGCTCCATTGGGACCCTCCAACATCAGGGGCTGGACCTCATGGATCCACCCTGTTCCCACTAGTCCACACTCGATCCCTGGTCCCAGGAGTCGGGGGATTGGCATCGAGCTGCCTTCCCGGTGCTGCCCTTGTTGCTCAGGTTCTTTTTTCAAAGGGCAGCGGCAGCCTTGCCCCGCTCGGCCCCGCCACCGGCAGCAGCAGGAGGTTTCGGGGGTGGGGGTCTGCCCGCGCTGTCCCGGGGCCCGGCCGTGCCCTCACCGCGCCCTCACCGCCTTTTGTACCAATAAAGGAGCAGCGCGATCCCGTGTGCCGCCTCCTTCTGCCGCCGGAGCAGGGCCGGCCGGTGCCGGCTGTCCCGGGGACCGGGGCGGGCTGGCCGCTGTCCCCGCTGTCCGTGCCCTGTCTGTCCCCGCTGTCCGTGCCCTGTCTGTCCCCACTGTCCCGTGCCCTGTCCCCGCTGTCCCGTGCCCTGTCTGTCCCCGCTGTCCCGTGCCCTGTCTGTCCCCGCTGTCCCGTGCCCTGTCTGTCCCCGCTGTCCCGTGCCCTGTCCCCGCTGTCCCGGGGCGCGGGCGGCGCAGGCGCAGAGCGGCGGCGGCGCGGGCGGAAGCGGCGGGCGCGGGCAGGGCCGTGGCGGTCGGTGCCGCGTCCCGTCCGACCCCGCCACCCTCGGCGCGGCCATGGCGGAGCCCCCGCGGCCGCAGCGGAAGCTGTCCCGGGTCGGGGAGAGCCTGTACCGGGTGCTGGGGCTGCAGAAGGGCAGCTCCCCCGAGGAGATCAAGAAGGCCTATCGGTACGGGGGGGGTCCGGCGGGGGCCGCGGGGTCGTCCTGGGAGCCCAGGCGTGAGGGTCCGTCCTCCCAGCGCGGCCGGGATCTCGTCCGGGTGGTCCTGGTCCCATCCCGGCCGTCAGGGTCGGTTCCCGGAAACGAGGCCGTAATCCCGTGCCGGGGGTCCTGGTTCCGTGCCGGGGGTCTGGGTCTGTCCCGGGAAGTGAGGCTGTGACCCGAGCTGGGGGTCCCCCCGCTGCACCCCGCAGGAAGCTGGCTCTCAAGTACCATCCGGACAAGAACCCCGATGACCCGGCGGCAGCCGAGCGGTTCAAGGAGATCAACAGCGCCCACGCCACGCTGAGCGACGCGGACAAGCGCCGCCTGTATGACCAGTACGGCTCCCTCGGCCTCTACGTGGCCGAGCAGTTCGGGGATGATGCGGTCCGGCACTACTTCCTCATGTCCAAGTGGTGGTTCCAGGTGAGCCCGGCATCATCCGGCATCCCTGGGGCTGGCGTGATGGGGCTGGCGGGTCAGCTGAGCTTAATGGTTTGCTGTCCTGGCAGGCCGGTGGTTTGAGTGGGGTTGCAGGACTGGTGTGAACGGGTCAGGGATTTGAGTGAGCTCAGTGTGTCTGCCCCTGATGCAGGCACTGGTGCTGTGCTGCGGTGCCCTCACCTGCTGCTGCTGCTGCTGCTGCTGCTTCTTCTGCTGTGGGACGTGCTGCCAACCCAAGGAGGATGAGTCCTACAAGTATGTGGACCCCAAGGACCTGGAGGCACAGATGGGCACAGAGGACAGCGGTAAGTCAGGCTGGAGGCCAGCAGCTAGGAGCACCTATGTTTGCTTTGTGGGGTGTCCCTATTTCCCATCTCATGTGGGGATAGAGTTCTGGCTCAGGCCTTGGGTTGGTTTTAGCTGCACCTCTTGTTTCCAGCCAGCCCTCACTGTTTCCATTGTGGGCCAGGGCTGGTGACAGTGACAGAGGGAGCCACTGCATGGACCATGGGTTCACCTTGTCCTTCCCTTTGGACAAAGTCCCCCTGAACAGGCCTGAAGCTTAGAGACCCTTGGGCGGGTGCCCTTTGGGGCTCAGAGCACGGGAAGAGTGGCTGTGCTCCAGGCCGGCTCTGTTCCCTGGCACTGGCCATACTGGGGTCAGTGGGGCTGGGTGAGTCCTGCAGATTTCTGTGGTGTTGGGGCACTCCCACACGGCTCTGCACTGGCCAGGGCTGTGGGAGCCCTTGCAGGGATGTTTTGAGATTGCTGCTCACTGTCAGGATGGGGCCGAGCCACTGATCCGCAGCTCTTCCTTTCCAGATCCTCAGATCCCTGTTGTAGCACAGCCCCCGCCTGCCGGCACGGAGCCACTGCCAGCCAGCACCAGGAGTGATGCCTGAGGCTGGTCCCATCCCGCCAACTCCCCCAGGACTCGGGACAGGAGTTCTCCTTCAGGACTGTCACTTTCTGGGACCATGGTCCCGCCCCCCGGGCTCATCAGCCTCGGGAGGGATAGAATCTCAGGTTAATTTGGCCAGCATCAATGCACAGGCTCCCGGGCCCCTGCTCGAGCTCCAGGGCAATGCCCCCGTGTCCCAGCACTGGTGGTGGCAGTGGCCTGGAGCCCGTGCTGCTGTGGCCCCCTTTAGTGCCTTGCCTGTGTCCATGTCGGGCACCGAGCACCAGGCACAAACAGAGATGCTCCGGGCCAAGCTGCGCAGCTCACTCGAGGGAGCTGAGCGCGTCCAAGACCATTAGCACTGTAACCTCTGGGGCTGGGCTGAGCCCGCTGCCCCCTCGTGAACCCTCCCGATGGGTGCTGGGTGCCAAACGCTGCTGTGGGGTTGGGGTGCTTCGATCTGTACCCCTTTCCTCTGCCCTCTGGCAGAGGTTGTCTGGGTTTTTCTGGGCACCATTAAAGGCTGATGGGAGGGGCGTGTGTGTGTGCCTGGGCTCTGTCCAGGGCTGCTGGAACACTCGGCAGCAGGATGTGCCTCTGCCTGGTGTTGTCCATGCTGGGGGCTGTGCCCATGGATCCTGCAGGGTGGTGGACTGACTGGGGCGTGGAGTAGGCACTGTCCTGTGTGGAGTGGTCATGTCAAGTGGAGTGACTGTCACTCGTTTACTGTCACCCGCTCTGTCCTCTGCTGCTGGCTCCCACAGGCTCTGCTCTTCCCACTCCTTGCTGCTGCAGCCCTGGAGCCCTGCTCCCCACTGCCCAGCCCCACTGCCCAGCCCCACTGCCCAGCCCCAGCCTTGCTCCTGACCTGCTCTCTGGGAGCCGTGGCCCTGCGCAGGGCCGGGACTGGCCGGGATGACACCGAGGGGGACGCAGTGAGCCGCTTGCCCTTTCTTCCTGTCTCTGGTCACCTCCTCTGCCTGCAGCTGCATGGGCTCTGCCTCACTCCCTAAATATAGACAGGGTGGCAGGGTGAGTGAGGATGGGGGTGTCCTGGCACCAGCCCCTGCACCCTGCTGTTCGGGGGGGTGGCACTGGGCTGGGGCTGTGGGGTCTGGGGGACCCCAGCCTCCCGCAGCCCCGCTGCCTCCAGAGGGAAGCACCCGCTCCTCAACACGACTGCCAGCCCTGCTCCCCCGGAACCTCGGCCGCTCCTCCTCTCCGGGCAGGGATCAGCGGGTCCCGAAACTCGGTCGCAGGGAATCAGCCGGTCCCGGGACCAGCCGGTGCCCAGGGGTGGGCAGGAATGGTGACTCAGTGTCACCCGACGCCGCCGACAGCTGCGGCTGGCGGGGCGGGGGCCGCTAAAATTAGCGGCGGGGCCGGAGCCGGGGCCGAAACAAAGCGGGCACCGGGCGGCCGGAGCGGAGCCGCGGGACAGAGCCGGGTCGGGCCGGGACGGGCCGGGACCGCGGCCATGAACTTCGCCGTGGGGCTGAAGCCGCTTCTGGCGGAGGCGAGGAGCATGGAGAGCCTGGAGAAGCAGCTCATCTGCCCCATCTGCCTGGAGATGTTCTCCAAACCTGTGGTCATCCTGCCCTGCCAGCACAACCTCTGCCGCAAGTGCGCCAACGACGTCTTCCAGGTGGGACCCGCCGGTGGGGGCGGGGGGAGGCACCGGGAATTCCATCCTTAGGACCCCACTCCGGCGGGTGCTGGCCCCGTTATCCCGGGATCCCCGGCCAGCGAGGCGGAGGGGCAGGCGGCACTAGGAACACCGGGGTCCTCTTCACAGCCGGGGCCTAGTGTGGCACTGGCACCGGGAATCCCGGCTGCGGGATCAGCCGGCGGGCCGGGCTGCGCTCGGTGCCGCTCCCGGCTGCCGGGAACGATGAACGGGCCCGGTGAAGGGCCGTGTACGTGCCCTTGTTTGTGTCCACACCTGTGTCCGTGCTCTTGCCCGTCTCCATCTCTGTCTCCGTGCCCGGGTCCGTGCCGGGGGGCTGTGGGGCGCAGATCCGTGGGGACGGGAGTTGCCGGGATACCGGGGGTGCGGGGTGCCGGGGGTGCCGGGGTTCCAGGGGTGCGGGGTTCCGGGGGTGCGGGGTGCCGGGGGTGCGGGGTGTCGCCGCCGTGACCCCTCGCGTACCCCCCAGGCCTCCAACCCGCTGTGGCAGTCACGGGGCTCCAGCGCCGTGCCGTCGGGCGGCCGGTTCCGGTGTCCGTCGTGCCGGCACGAGGTGGTGCTGGACCGGCACGGGGTGTACGGATTGCAGCGGAACCTGCTCGTGGAGAACATCATCGACATCTACAAGCAGGAGTCGGCCCGGTCCGGAGGCGCGGGGTCCCCGCGGCCGGGGGGGGCCCACCGAGAGGGCTGGGGGTGGGATCCCGGCAGGAACTGGGCGGTCATGGGGCCCACACAGGGCCAGGGAATACTCCTGGGCTGGGGGTGTCTCCAGCACCAGAGGTATTTCTGGTGCCAGGAATGTCCCTGGGGTTGGAGGGTCCCTGGGAGCCAGAGGTGTCTCCAGGGCTGGGCAGGTCCTGGGGGTGGTGCTGTCTCTGCAGCTGGGGTGTCTCTGGGGGCCAGGGTGTCTATCTGACACCCCCAACCCCCCTGTAGACCCCTTCATGCCAAGGCCGAGCAGCACCTCATGTGTGAGGAGCACGAGGATGAGAGGATCAACATCTACTGCCTGCGCTGCGAGGCGCCCACCTGCTCCCTGTGCAAGGTGTTTGGGGCGCACAAGGACTGCGAGGTGGCTCCGCTGCCGGCCGTCTACCAGCGCCAGAAGGTGGGGAGCCCCTGAGGTTTTGGGGGGCCGAGGGTACCCCCACAGCCACCCTCATGCCCGTGCCCTCTACTCCCAGAGTGAGCTCAGCGACGGCATCGCCATGCTGGTGGCGGGGAACGACCGGATCCAGGCCATCATCACACAGATGGAGGAGATCTGCCACACCATCGAGGTTGGGACTGGGGGTCCGGCCCTGGGGCTGTGCCAGTGGAAGGATGTGGTGGCGCTGGGAGAGCCCAGCCCTGGGGCTGTGCTGGGGGGACGCGCTGCAGCAGGGACTCCCGCCCCACAGGAGAACGGCCGGCGGCAGAAGCAGCACGTGGGGCTGCGGTTTGATGCGCTGTACGGGATCCTGGAGGAGCGGAAGAAGGAGCTGCTGCAGAGCATCGCAGCCGAGCAGGAGGCCAAGCTGCAGCGTGTCCGTGGGCTCATCCGCCAGTACGGAGACCACCTGGAGGCCTCCTCCAAACTGGTGGAGTCAGCCATCCAGGCCATGGAGGAGCCCCAGATGGCCGTGTACCTGCAGGTCCTGCCAGGGGAGCAGGGAGAGAAGGGGACAGGGGAGCTGGAACTGCCCCAGGGCTGGGTGGTAGTGCCATGGTTCCCTGAGGGCCGTGGAGCTGCCTGTCTAAACAGCGCGGCTGTGCTCACTCTGAAGGATCTGTGGATGCCCCTGGGTGGGATGTACAGGGGTGGGCCTGTGGTGGGGGTGATGTACAGGAGACACTGATCCCCCTTTGCTTTCCTTCACAGCACTCCAAGGAACTCCTGAAAAAGTAAGTGGGGAGTATGGGGGGAAAAGCCTTTGCCTGGTGGCCTCTGGGTGCTGGACCCTGCAGCTCCCGGGGTGTCTCTGCCCTGCAGGATCACAGACATGTCCAAGGCATCAATGAGCAGCCGCCCTGAGCCCGGCTACGAGAATATGGACCACTTCTCCATCAACGTGGACTACGTGGCTGAGATGCTGAGGACCATCGAGTTCCAGACAGGTGCCTGCACTGGGGAAACTGCTGCTGTCCCAAGGGGGCACCGGGACTGCCTGGGGCACCCAGGCCTCAGAGAAGCAGAGCCTCCCTCGCCACATGCCCTGTGTGGGGATGCCACACGGTACTGTGGATGTGACCTCCACCTGTAGCACCACCCAGGGACCCTGGAGGGTCAGTCTTGCCCCAGACACTCCCTGGTTTCCACACTGGGCAGGTCACACTCTTCCTGGGGACATCCTGGAGTGTCCTGCTTGGTCACCTCCCTCCTGGCATGTCCTGGTGTCCCCATAATGCAGGAGGGAGGGAAGGTCCCACCTGAGCTGTCCCCTGCCCACAGAGCCACTGGGCGAGGATGAGGGTGACGGGCCTGGGGACGGCAGTGAGGCCACAACGGATGAGGACCGGCTGGACAGCCTGGAGGTGCCCGAAGCTGCTGAAGGTGGGTGCACGCCATGACTGCCCAGTGCCATGTCCAGTGCCATGCCTGCTTGGCTGTGCCATGGCCCACGTGTGGCAGCACGGGTCCTTCAGGGTCCTGGGGTATCGCTGTCTCTATCTTGTTCCCTCTGCAGATGTGGGGCCGAGGCAGAAACCAGCGAGTTCTCCCCACGGTGAGACTCTCATGGGGAGTGAGATGGGCACAGCCATGGGGTGCCACGGGGCAGAGGAGACACCTCCTGGGAATGGGGATGAGGATGTGGATGGAAGGTCACACCTCAGGCTCCTCCCAGGCTGTCCCTGTCTTCCTGCTGCAGGGAGTGGGAAGGGGGGCCCGGGGTCACAGGGCTGAGGCTTCTTTTCTGCACAGGTCAGCACTGAAGTGAAGCCGTGGGGTAGCGCTGCCATGCCCTCAGCTGTGGCTGTCTCTGTCACCCCCGCCCTGGCTGTGGCCATCCCTGGCACTCTCAGTCGGGCTCCATCCCTGCTGCTGGAATTCCCCAAATGGGCGCTGCCCCTCTACAACATTAAAAGTGTGTGACACGTTCTCGTGTGGTGTGTGGGTGGGGTGGAGGCGGGGGGTGCCCCAGACCAGCTCTGCACCGGCCCCACAGGGTCCAGCCCCTGCCCCATCACCCCAGCAGCGTCCCCAGGACCTCAGGCAAGGGGCCGAGACCCCAAAGCCCCAGTGCAACTCGGGCACCCGGAGCCCACCCCAGAGCCCCAGTGCAACCTGGAGCCCACCCCAGAGCCCCAGTGCAACCTGGAGCCCACCCCAGAGCCCCAGTGCAATCCGGAGCCCACCCCAGAGCCCCAGTGCAACCTGGAGCCCACCCCAGAGCCCCAGTGCAATCCGGAGCCCACCCCAGAGCCCCAGTGCAATCCGGAGCCCACCCCAGAGCCTCAGTGCCACCCGGGCTCTGCCCCGCGCCCTCCTCGGCGCCCCCCGCCCCGTCCGGGTGCCCGCAGCAGCCCGGTCCCCGGGGTGCTGGGGGCAGACGCTGTCGGGATGAGCTGGCTGAGCACACACACTCTCGGCTGCCGGAGCCCGCCGGGTCCCCCGGGAGCTCGGTGGCCGCGGTGGCTGCGTCACCCGGCCCGTGCGGTCGCCATGGCGGCACGGCCGGTGATGCTCAGCCGGTGATTCTGAGCCGGTGATTCTGGGCCGGTGATGCTCGGCCGGGCTCCTCGGGCTGCTCGGGGCCCCGTTCCTGGGCTCCACCGGGGACGTCCCGGCTGCCACAGCCTGCCCAGCCAGGGGACAACGAGGCCCGAGCCCTGTGGGTCCCCGGCAGCCGGGCACCGCGGCTGGGGGCTGGGGGCGAGGTCCCGGAGGGTGGGTGACAGACGGGACAGCTCCGCTCATGCAGCTCCGAGCTCTCTCCCCAAGCACAGGTGATGCTGCTGTCAGTGGACCAACCCCAGGGCCCAGCCCAGCGGCGCCCTGCTCCTTCACACACCGCAAACGTGCCTGGGAGGCTGGGGTGATCCCTGGGGAGCGTCAGGGGCTGTGCTTTCTCCATGTCTGCACCAGACATTCCTGGAAGCAGCATTTGCCTTTCCCTCCCCTCCTCAGGGATGTTGCCTTGTCGGTCACCCTCCAGAGGTGACTGAGACCTCAGCTGGGTGCCAAGGGTGCCAGCCCAGTGCTTGAGGTGCCTCAGGAGAGCCCCACCGTAGTTCTCTTCTGTTTCAGGCAATTTTCTTCCTCGTGCTTTGTGCCCAGATGCTCATCACTTGCCACTGCCCTCCCAAACCAGCCTGTCCTCCAGGCAGCTCCCTGGCAGGTGCTGATGCATCTGCTTAAATTAAAATTAAATTGTACCCCCACCTGAGATTTCAGGAAGAGGTGATCTGCACTGAGCATGGACTCTAACATGCAGCCTGCTCCAGCTGCTGCTCAAGGCTGGCTCCAAGAAGCATCATTATTTCTTTACTCTTCTCCACAAGTGTGCTTCCAAAGGCCTTTATCTCCATAAGGGGCACAATGCTGACATTCCTAAAGAACATCTTTTCACTTTCCCCCACAAAGGCAGGTGGGCTGTTCACCTACTGTCATCACTTACCCAACCCTATGCTCTATTTGTGGAATTTTGTCCATTTTATTTGATTTGTGTTGGGTTTGTGTGGCAAGGTTTTGATAGTGGGGAGATGACAGGGGCAACCTCTGTGAGAAGCTGACAGAGGCTTCCCCCAGTCCAAGAGAGCCACAGCCAGCTAGCTCCAGGATGGACCTGCTGCTGGCCCAGGCAGAGTCCATCAGTGATGGCAGTAGCACCTCAGGGATAATGTATTTAAGGAGGGAAAAAGAGTTCTTGTCTAGAGGTAATTGCAGCCAGGGAGGAATGATGGTGTGAGAGCAGCAGCCCTGGAGCCTCTCGGGTCGGTGCAGAAGGAACGAAAAGAGGTGCTCCAAGAGCTGGAGCAGGGATTGCTCCACAGCCTGTGGGTGCCCAGGGACAGCAGAGACCCAGCTACAGCCTGTGGGGACACACAGGACAGCAGAGACCCAGCTACAGCCTGTGGGGACACACAGGACAGCAGAGACCCACCCGCAGGCCCTGGAGGAGCCCACACCAGAGCAGGTGGGTGCCCACAGGAGTCTGTGACCCCATGGGAAGCCCATGCTGGAGCAAGGTCCTGGCAGGGACCTTCAGACCCGTGGGGAGAGGAGCCCATGCTGGAGCAGGATTGTTGGCAGGACCTGTGACCCTGTGTGGGACAGTTCCTGGGGACTGTCCCATGGAAGGGACACCCAGTGCAGCAGTTTGTGAGCAGCCACAGCCCACAGGACACGGGAAGGACTCATGCTGGAGGAGCCTGCAGAGGACTGCCTCCCTCCCACGCTGGCACAGGGCAGGAACTCCTCTCCCTAAGAAGGAAGCAGTGGCAGAAACCACGGGGTGAACTGGCTGTAACCCCCATTCCTGTCTCGCTGCACCACTGGAAGGGAAGAGGTGGAGGATCGGGAATAAAGCTAAGCCTGGGATGGAGCGAGGGGTGAGGGGAAGGTGCTCTTGGGTTTTGTTCTACTTCTTGTTACCCTACTCTGATTTGATTGGATACATGAATTTTCCCAATCCAAGTCTGCTTTGCCCACAACAGTAATCAGTGAGCTTCCTCTGTCCTTATCCTGAGCCATGAGCCGCTCTTACATTTTCTCTTCCCTGTCCAAGGGAGGGGAGAGTGATGAGGCAGCTTTGGTGGGCACCTGCTGCCCAGCCACGGTCAGTCCATCACACCCATGCAAATTACCTTCCTCTGGGCTTATGTTAAACCCCATGGAAAATCCTCCCAGGGTTTTGAGACTTAAGGAGCAATATCAGATTTAAATCTAAGATTAAAATTCCCCAATCCAAAGGGTCCTTCATTGATTGTGACACTGGGAAACCCAGCAGTTTTACTGCTTGTGTTTGAATTTTCCCCATCAATTGGACAAGCTGTAAAGTAACAACATATTTGATAATGGATCACCATAAAGTAGCAACATATGATATAAGTACTTCACTTGCAAAATTAATTTACATAAACAGATTTAAAAAATTGAAGAACATACTGCTACGTCCTCAGTCAGTTGGAACTTCAGGTTTCCAGTTTGGTGTGAATTCCATGTATCTTGTCCGGTCTCAGGGAGCCTTTTCACACAAGCAATAGATCCAAGAGTTGTTCCTGTCCTTTTCACTGCAGTGTATTTCCTTAACACTGCTGGGAAAGCACCTTCCCACCTTTCTCGTAGAGTCTCTTCCTTTCATCCTCAAACACTTCTCCAGATTGCAAAGACTGTCCAGGGTACCCAAGGGAAGGGTGGGGCCTCCAATTCAAAAACCTGTGAATGAGGATAAAGGCTGTGAAGGAGAAATTGAACATTTGTCTCTCCTTGCACACACCTGATCTCCACCTGTGGTTACAAGGTTATGCCTTCCACTATGGTATTTCCAAAGTTCTCGTTCCTGCTTTGACCTGGGGACTGACACAAACTCGTTAAGAGCCAAAGATGATGCTCCACTCGAGCCTTTCATTGTAACTTGGATATTTGTTTCTTTATTGTCTGATTCGTCCTTTCTGTCTTCCCACTGGACTGTGGGATCCATGAGGTGTGCAGCTCCCCAGCATACTGTGAAAATTTGGGCACTTGCACAATTTATGCTATAAAGTAGGGTTCATTATCTGTAGAAATTCCTTCTGGGACATTCAATCTGAGTATTGTTTCTTTGAAGAAACCCTGATCACTCCTCTGCTCTGGTTGGTGCAACAGGGGAAAGCCCTGGTGTCACAGAAAACTGGAAAATAAACTCTCCAACCAATTTGCTAGGTTAGAAAGTTAACATTGATTTATTAGGAGTGCTGGATGCATGGGAAATCCTCCTCAAAGCATGCATGGCCAGTAACTTAACAGACCAGGTTATTCCTGAAGAGAATAAATATTCATCCCATTTCCTGAATACAAGCATATATGCTAATAATTTCTGAGGACTTATTTTGGTATGGTTCCAGATCTTCTGATGGATCTTTTCTCTTTGAGAGCATTTTAAATATGTGTTGGGTTATAAGGTACTTCTCTTATCATTCTTTGTTCTGACACACAATCCTTGTTCTCAAAACTAAGATATTGGCTAGTACATATTAATCACTAATAAAAGTAAATGAGGAAGCATTAGCTGGCACAAGATTAAGTCACAGACATCTGTCTCTCCTGACAGTCCTGGGTGTGGTCCTGTTCTTTAAACACTTTCTAATGGTGCTTTTTATAGCAGTTATCTGTAAGAGCCACTTCGGGGAGGACGGTCCGAGACACGGCAGAGAGCTCTACAGCCGAGTTAGGTGTTAGGAGTTTATTTCAGGGCGTGGGAGAGAGACAGAGCCTGCTAGGAACCAGCAGATAGAGCTCAAAGCAGGCTCGGAGAGAACAATACAAAAGGGGTAAAATATGAATACATGAGCTCAAGACTTCAGATTGCTAAGAAAGAGAGTGACAGAACAGAAGTGAGAGAGCTGGGAAAAAGGGCCGAGCTCTCCTTTACAACTACTTATATAATCTATACATTGAATATTCTATTCCTTTACTAACCAATCTTCATAAGTATCCTAATACAGGAACATTTGTGTGTGACCTATAGAAATCACTGCTTTTGCATATTTTTAGCTATCTCAGGGTCCTTCAGACCTTTCCTAATGAGGCTGGGGAGAGGGGTCTCAGTTTTATTGGGGGACAGAATGTGTTCTGGCACACCAGCCCGGTTTCTTTGAATTATTCAAACCATGCTTTCGTTTGTATTTCTTCCTTAGCCTTTCTGGCTAAAGAGTGATATTTATAATTTCTTTCTGATTCTACCATCCCAACAGTTATCTCTATGCTCAAAACTTGAGGCTTCAGTGTCTCTGCCAGAGACTCTATTTCCAGTGAGTTCCCCTATGCTGTTCCCCTGCCATAATCCCCATGAGGTGTTGGGGAATTGCTGGGTGTAATCCACCGTCCTTCAGGGCTGTTTTCAGGACCTAACAAATTTGCCACTTTGTCAGCCAGGCCATTTCCAACATTCACTGGGG